ACCAATCGCCATTTTAGAATCATGTGTTGTACGAAGCGTACATGCACAAGGAATTCCATGTGTGGTAGGCAATACACAGCCGCAGCGCCAGTAAACTTCATGGCTCAAGTCCCGCATCCTTGTTAGCTCATCGTTCAATAAATTCATACAGTAATGCGAGACTCTCAATATCAAGCACGCGAAAGTCAATCCCGTATATGCCGTACTCTTCCTAAGTCTAGAAGACTCAAGTGCTGTCCTGTTAATACATTACAAAACAAATTATAATATACTTATATAGTATAATATATTATACTTATATATAATATATTTGAGGAATGTACCTGATTTTAGTCAATTGAGACTCGATCTCCTTATCAATCTTATGCCACACTGTATCTAGCGCGCCAGTCGACGTGCGAAGCCACTGCTTCAACACAGAGTGGGCACTTTCCACCCTACAGGTAGTTGTGTTGCCAAAATGTGTTACTTGGTTCGTCCAGGCTTTCACAAACTTCTCCTTGTGGCATAGCCACGTCTGCTCGAGATATTGTACCACTTTTGAATCATTCCCGTATTTTGCATTCAATTGAGCTACGGCAGTGTCGTACTCATCCGACGTACTGGCATCCATAATCGACTTCCACCGACCGCGCAAGAACCTCTCAGATAAATTTTTATCTTTCCCAAACAAGTTGTACACTTTGTTTTCCACATCCTTGTTGATGTGCCACGTGCAGAGTAAGTGGGCAGATTGGGGAAAATGCCTCATAATAGGAGTCAATAAGCCCAACTCTCTGTCACTGACAACCGCATTAGGATGCACCTGAGCAGCGTCAAATATTAGTGAGACACGCAAAAAAAACCTCAAATTTTTTTTACCATATATCACAAAGTACGTTTATATACTAATTAAATTAATCATGTACTTCATATAAATTCTTACCGTATAGCCTATGAGAAGTCTCAACTTGTCGAGAACCCAATCATAACTGGCCTCTTTCTCGTCCTTCATGAGGGCATACGCAATTAAAAAGTTAGTGTTGCACGGCGTCATGCCAATCATCTCGACCAACGGCATCTTGTACCTGTGAAAATGAGACCAAAAGAAATAATTTATAATCACATTAAATCTAATCCAAAATACAAATTTAAATTAATACTAATAACATATCTATAAATTTAAAATACCTGTTGGTTTTGTACGTCGAATCTATGTCGACAAACCAATAATAAGTCCAGAATAGACTCATTGAATCAGGATGGGCCATGAATATGTGTGTCAGTGCATTTGTATTCGGATCGACATTTGTATAAACTATGTAGTTGCTGCTGTTTGCCAAATGTAGAAGTTGGGTAGGAACGTCCCTACCCTCAAAACTTTCCTTACGCAACCAGTCTCTATAGTTATATACATGTCGCCGATTAGCATGGTCGTGTGGATTTTTTTCATGGACGGCGGTCAAAATATTTGCTGGTGTCACATGCGCAGCAGTCATTTCACGAATAATTTTTTTGGATGACACGCTTATGCCGCTCGACTGTCGATGGCCCTCAGGATACACGGCAAATGAATGATTATGGTATCCCTTCGTTTCGTTTTGACTCGTGTGGATCATCCAGTATGTCGATCTGGCAACACGCTTTACTTGTATCTCAAAAGGGCACTGGCACGCTTTCGTTTTTGAACGTCTCGAAACAGCTTTATTCATATCTACGTTTTTGCCTCTATAACGTTCGCCTCGATCGCACTTCAAGATCTTCAGCCTTCCGGGTTTTTTGTGTTTCGAAATAGTCAAAAAGAAACCATTCAGAATTGTCGTACTTTTTGCATCCTTAATAGCCTCCACATCACTAATAAACAGCGTAGTTGTATTGAAAGCGGAACGGTAATCAACACCATCTCCTCCAAAATCTTCTAAAGACACCTGCAATGTATTTAATAATTTTAAAGCATTTAAAAATAATTAAAAAAAATAAAAAAAAAATAAAAAATAAAAAAAAAATGGTGTCCGGCCGGTCGGACCGGCCGGACCGGGTTACAACCGGTCGTCGTGGCCGGACACCAAGTGGCCGTACGACCGTTCGGTTAGTACAACGACCGGTCCGTACGGCCCACAATACCGCACGCAACTGGTGGTGTCCGGTCGAACCGGCCGGACGCGTGTTAAGCCGTCCGGTCCGGTCGGCCGGACACCACCGGTTGCGTGGCACTTTTCCGGCCAGACAGGAAAAAAAAATACCTCTGAGCTGCTGGACATTGTGCGAATGAGAAGGGCAAAAATGTGGACTTGCTTAGATTGGAGACACTTGGATCCCTACAGCGGGACGAGAAAACGGTGATAGCCACATGCCCGGGAACTGATTCCCTCATCATCGTCGTTGTTTGAAGAAAACTAAAGATAATTTTCGAAATTACCTGCAAATCAAAATTCGTACTATTACGTGATTTTAAAAGATGCTAATCGATACAATCGCTATGTGAGCCGAGCGGTTTAGTATTTATTCGATAAGTGCTTATTTATTTGTTTTATATCCGCTGCGTTTGACCCCGTGCGGTATAGTGAACCTAACAACGATAAGGCTTGAAAAGAATTTTGATATAATTTTTTATAGTTCGACTCGTTAAAACTCACGATTGGTTCATTAATGCTCTAACTTGCCTCATTAAGGCTGGAAAAAAAAATTATATAATTTTTTTTTATAGTTTAACTCGTTGAAACTCGAGATCGGTTCATTTAGGCTCTAACTCAGTCAATAAGGATAAACTAATCAAACTTGAACTTAATTTTTGGCTCGTTTAATTAACGAACCGAGTTTGACTCGATTCGTTAATGCTCAAGCACCTTAATCTCGAGCTCGGCCCTACTCGTTTATTGGCCTAATGAGAAATGAAGTGTTTTAACTGAGGATATCTTGGCTTTTCTCTGTTCATTTTGCTTCCCATGCCTTTTTTTTTTTTTTTTCTATTTGTGAGTTGGGTTAATGAGGGAGTGGCTTGTTGAGCCGTGTAGGGATTGATGAGTTCAATGCCCGTTTATACTTTTTCAGCTAGATTTACTTGGAATATGTATTCATGGAATCAATGGATTAAAAAATGTATACGTTAAAAGTTTTGAAAGGTCTTTCAACTTCCCAACTGAATTTAATGATATTTTCCATTAAAGATATATATAACAACAGCTTGTGGTCGTTCCGGAGTGGTTATCGGGCATGACTAGAAATCATGTGGGCTTTGCCCGCTCAGGTTCGAATCCTGCCGACCACTGGTTTTTTATTGTTTATTTTTTTTTAAAATAAAAATTTAAAACGACTCAAACTACAGTTCCAAATCTTTTTCCACCTCTCTCTATCTCCCGTGTTGGGAATTAGTAAATTGTATAATCTTTCTAGTTATAAAGGCTTACTCTACTGAAAAAGAAGTCACCGGAAAATAGAAGATTATTCATGGACAGTAATTTGAAGACATCGTACAAAACTTGGCAGCTAAAACCAGTTTGCTCGCACCCAGATTACAATCCAAAAACCAATACAAGGAAACAACTATAGCATGTCTGGGGGAAAATATGTAAGAACATATGTTGAAGCAAGAAGCTAGCATCTACTTTTCTTCTCCCCGCCTCGGGGAGCTCCATCTTCCGACTGCCTTTTAGATGCCGAAATCTGCGTATCTGACACTTTACGTCTGTTGACAAACTCCGAGAAAGACAGAATTTGTGGCCCCAATGTATCCCGAGCAACAGGGGATACGGATTTAATGCTACCGTGGGTTTCTTCTTCCTGCTCTACAGACATTTCTGGGCCCAAAAGAGAGGACTGCATAGTAATAACCTCGACTGAATTTTTAGCAATTGTATCAAGTTTAACTTTGAGCTCGTCAGGTGTTGCTTTCGACAGCCATCTAACTGTACTCGCCATCTGAGACAAATAAAACGACTTGCCACTTTTCTCGTACTTCTTATGGCATTCACTCTCGATTGTATCAGCACATGAACCAAAATCAATCCTGAACGATTTTTCACCAAACTGGACAAATTAGTATGGTATGTAGTGAAAGATTCGAAGGACTGAAAAATTTAGCCGACCATAGAAGAATTGGGTGAGAGGAAGCGTACTGTAAATTGGTGAACCGGGTCTGATATTGGTTCAATGTGTTTAGTAACCTCTGCTTACTGGACTTCCTCAGGTTTTCGGATATGGAGTTCCTGTCAGATTTGTTTAACTAACAAACAAACATAAAGTGTGCTCATTATTGTAGTAGCAAATGGAAACAAAAAAGGGAAAAGACAAAGGAAAAACAACACTGGGTCTGGAGTTTAGTGATAGAGTTAGGCAAATGCAGTTAGATGGAATAAAAGAACGTAAAGAACGAGTTTCAAGATGGAAATTCTTCTTTTGAGTATAATAGATTAAACAGAAAGAATGAAAATATTCAGATTTAATGGAGCTAATCAAACTTAGATTACATGATGAAAAGTACATAATAGGAATAGAATCCAAGGAACTGATAATTTAAGAGTGGAATTCGACAAGTTCATCGAAAGGTTATGGTTCTCACAATCTTATGATTATGTAATATACTTTCAACAAAAAGGATATGAACTGCAAAGCAGTTGTCCATAATGAAAGGATATGCATATTCTAGCTGCATGTACTCGCACGCTACCTATGTTTCAGTTAATGTTTTAAGAAATAATTTAAAAATATAATAACTCTGCTAATCCTACACGGAGAAAAAAAAATAGACAAAAACACACCTTCTTGTCTTGAATATTTGTAGTCCGGTAATAGTTCTCTTCTGCACGCTGCAATAACTCCATTCTCTCACTCATCTTTGGTTCTGAAGATTTACTTGTAAGTGCAACCCTTTTTGCTAACTCAACAGGCTCTGGAGTCAAATGATAGCATGTCATAAAGAAGCACAGTACGGACAACAAAGAAAAAAAGCAACCCCAAGCCATATCAATGAATACGAGACATTTACTATATTGTGCCCTTAGTATAATTACTGAAAAATATATCTCATAACTTGTATATACCATCAGAATCCGATAAATCTTCCTCAGATGCACTTTCTCCATCATCACGGTTCCAGAATTCCGAGAACTGCTCCTCACCATTGAAAGATGAAGCACTGCACAAAGATACATAAACTAATCAGTACACAAAAACAAATGGATGTTGTGGCCTAACATATAAAAAGAGAAAAAAAAAAGTTGTTTAATAAATAAAGAAATCAGTGATTATTCAACTTCATCATTGGAAATGAAGCAATGGTTCCTTCAGAAACTACTACTGCTAGTTAGGGAACACAACAAGATAAATCTATAACATGAATGGCTCCACCTGACAAAGTTATGACTAGCAACCCTTATTATCAGCAAGTAACATCCTGACGATGACAGGATATTTAGATTTCCCAGATTACAAACATCACTTGTGCAATGTGAATCATTCATCCTCTAAATAACCAGATTAAAATTCATGTGAAAGCTGTATCTTTACTCTCATTAATGTATATAACTGTGCTTCAAAGTTCACGTGTATAAATATATAAATCATCTTGTTTAACTATTTTTCACATCCTTCCGAATCCTCTATCACAAAAGTACTTTGACATATTAGAATTTCTTTTGCACCAATTTCAAGCATTCTAAACATGAATAGAGAAAAGATTCATTTGATGAAGTTTGAGAAGATACTACAGGTATGGAGCAGATATGTCAGGATTCAGATAGCTCATTTAAAATATCTTTCTAAAAAGCTGTGGGCCATATAATGTTTCACATCAACTCAACAACTCTTGCAAGTTGCAGCAGCTATAGGATCCTCCTTCTTCACATGACTGTTGCAAATCCCATCTTTCTCCAAGAAATTGTTTAGTTAGTGAGCCCTTTTTCAGTGAGATCAGGATAACATATATAAAAAGTCCCAAGGACAAATTTTCCCGAAACAAAGCAACCAATTAAATCAATGGGAGATTGCAGAAAAATAGCGGCAGAATAAAATCCCCCCATGGCAGCATGTGGCGGCACATAACTGCCATCCATAAAAAATTTCTAATGGCAGTTAGGTAGACATCCCCCACGCCATATCACCCTTGCGGATAATTAAAAACAATGAAAGCAACAATCCAAATGCCAAGCTATCTTAGAACAAACAACAGGGTAATGAAATAGACTAATTTAAATAAGGTATCCATGACCTGCTCATGTATATCCGAGATGACCCATTTCTATGCCGAATAGCAGTAGCACGTGTGAGATCCTCCAAATACTTTGAAACAACATTAGGATGTTTGCACGCGTCACATGATTTAGCGCAGAATGATGATGTTACCTGCCTCCAGACAGAAGAATGCCTAATATAAATATTCCATACATGCAAACTAATAATCAAAAGAATGGTGATCTAGCCCAATTGAAATACCTCTTCTCCAAAACTTTTGAGGATCTTTTTCCTTCGACAGCCAGACCCCTCACAATATTCAACCATCTAAATATGGTACACACAGGCTAAAAATTGATAGAAAGGCACATGTTTGCATTATTCTCGAGGAATGCACATATTTACCTCACGGAAATCGCTGAGGGGTTTTTTGGAGCACACATCCTCAGAGCTTGAAGATTGTGGCTTATTGTTAGCAGTCTTATTCAAAATGAATTCCTGCAATATGCATACAGAAATTTATAATTCACTCACTGTTAGCTAGTAAATTCTATTGCAAACGTAATTTCATAAGAGTAGATAATCAACCATTTTTCTACGATCGTCCACTCCATAGTACAACAGACTCTGAGAAGGCAATTGATCACGGCCAGCTCGACCTGACTCCTGGTAGAAGGACTCCATAGACTTGGGGATATTGAAATGGCAGACAACTCTAACATTCTTCCGATCAATACCCTGAAATAAGATACCACAGATTGAAACCTGCTTTTAGTTCTATGTAACCGATAGATTTTACATTTATACTTTGCAAAATGAAAGAACCGTTGCATACCATCCTGCAGAAAAACCACCATTTCAGAAGCTCAGAACGCAACAGGACAGCCCAGCGATTAATTCCCAAAACCAACAAACAACAAAATTATAAAGTCGGGAGTTAATTTCATTTGGATGACAAAGACAGAAAAAGCTTAACAAAAAATGTAAAGACATGTAGTTGATATTTTATATTCTAAATTGAACAATTTTCAATAGATTCAGCTGATGCTGATCAACGTAGTATGCTAGATTAACTAGAACTTGTAATGCACTTGTTAACTTCTATGATATGCAAGATTAACTAGGACAACTTTCAGAAATCGAAGTGATGTTCACGATCAGTTCAACTTCTGCACTCTTAAAGAAACCTGTTCCTGATCAACATACTCAGGGAAATCCACAAGAGAACTTATCAACTTCTACATGTCTGGCTCAGCAAAATGGAGTACAACCCAATCCTACCAATGAAACCATGACTTGACTAACTCGAAGAAAAAGGAGAAGAGGACATACCCAAAAGCTACAGTAGCCACAACTACTTGTGTTTTAGAGGATATCCAATCATCCAAGACAGAGCTCCTTAATTTACTGTTTAATCCTGCATGATATGCTAAAAGTGGGGAAACATAAATTCTGTTTGAAAAGTCTAACACGAGTAATGTGCTATTTTTTCAAAGTTGCTTCAGAATATTATTGAATTACCAGCACAAGATATTCCATGCTTGGATAAGTGCACGGCCAGTTCATCACAAGCTGCACGCTCAAGGCAGTAAATAATGGCACATATGTTTCCACAGGATTTAAGATAATTACAAATATCGGAATATGGATTATCCAACAAGTCTTTATAGCGAACTGCATGATAAAAAATGTAAAAATTAACTAAATATTTACACTGAAAAATCGACATAAAACGAATACATCATTGGACCGAACATCCTTGAGCATCACCGATGTCCTGAAACAAAAATCTGAAGTACACACACACACATCCATGAGCATCAATGATGCACTGAAATGGTTCTTATGAGAATAAATCCAATCGTAGGAAACAAAAGTAAATCTCAACCCCTCAATGATATCATGTGATAGTTAAAAAGTAAGTTCAAAATGGTCAACTTAAAGAAAAAATCTGAAATTCAATATTATGAGATGGCTACCTGGGAAGCAGTCAATTTGAGAAACTGGTGTTGTTTCTCCTTAATTATTGCTCGTTTGCAACTTTTTATGACTAGTTAACGAGTAATTTAGCGCTAATTATGGATTTACCCAAGAAAAACATTACTAGTTTCAGCGTTTAGTGCGTTTTTACAGAATTGAAATGCTACTATTGGCAAATATGATTCTCTGCCAATTTCCCAGACATTTTAACCTAGTAAAGAATTAATTTAGCGCTAATTATGGATTTACCGAAGAAAAGCATTACTACTTTCAGTGGTTTAGTGCGTTTTTAAAGAATTGAAATGCTACTATCGGCAAATATGATACGCTGCCAATTTCCCAGACATTTTAACCTACTAAAGAATTCCAATGTTTCATCTACAATGGATAAAAATCGTAAAGAGTAAAATATGAACATTTAAAAAATATTATTTTCTCCCTCAAAACTTGAATTTAAGAGTTTGGAAATGTAGTTGTAGGTGGAAACACAAGTACGCAGATTAAATGTATATGCTATTTTCGCCCGACGTAATGCTATTTGTCCCAACTATAGTGCTATATAAAATCAATACATCACTGTGTAATCTTACACGAGTTGGCGGAATTTAGTAAAGATTAAACATATGGATGTGCCAAGCCTACTCCTATAACTTACACTAGGGTTCTTTCCTACAAGAATCTACACCTATATACACTCGCAGATTTTCTTCTTTAGGTAAATGAAATTAAATAGTGACCATGATATGAAGAGTTATTGAGAGAGAGATGCTTAGGTAAATCGGATATCATAGGGAACTTACCTTCATAATATATATTTGGGCGGTTGAATGATGATTTCAGAACAAGTGGGTTCTGCAAACACAAGGATATTATCACATCCTCTTGGACTCTGCAGGAAGTATCAATTCAGTCTTATGGTCATTTTTTATAATCAATTTTTTTTTACTGGATATATCAAGAAAAATAAGCTCCATAAGTCATGATGAACATCGAGGGATGTTGTTTTTTATTAATTTCAAACAAATATTCAGATATATGTTAATTACAATTGAAGTCAGCATTCAAGAATGTATATGGAACTACCTTTCTGTTTAAGTCAAATTAAAAAAAGATATCGAGAATAACAGTGGATGTCATGAGCTAATTTAACAATTGAAGAACTTAAACTCAATAATACATGCCATAAACAGAATTGTTGATCATACTCACTTAGGAGCAGCTGTAGCTGTCAAAGCCAGAACTGGTATGCTGGGCAAGTGATTCTTTAGAAAAGAAAGCTTTCTGTAGCTTGGCCTAGAATATTAGGGCAATCCAAATATAGTTTAAAATTATTCAAACAGCTTTAGTAACAAAATTCAAGTGAACACAATAAAGAAAACGCACTTGTAACATAGATTGAGAAAGAGAAATATTTAAGTGGTAACAAGATACTTTACAGGACTTATGATTGAAGGAGAAATTGTAAAGTGTAATCAGGGGCAATAATTTTTTCATAAAAAATGTAGTAGAAGCCAGAATCTCATCGGAAATTCTCTGTTATTTTATCATGACACACCTGATAATGCATTTGTGTGCATATTCCATAACTTGAAACATCATATCTCTCAAGCATAAATCATAAATTTAATTGTCAGAGGTCAGCTGTAAAGTAAAATAAATCCAAAAGATTCCATAATTTTATATTTTTTTAGTTTATAGCTTATAAAATTATGAGACTGAATGGTTCTTGTTCCATGAATAGTAATATTACTGTGAATATCAGCACGCCAGCTACTTATTAAGACTACAAAAGAGTAAATGATAATTGTTCTAATACAGGCGAGAACCCAAGATTGATGATAGATATTCAAAGGGTATCAATATGTGACATAGAAGTTGAAGTTTGAGAGGCGACCTGAAATCATGTCCCCATGTTGACACACAGTGCGCCTAACAATAAGCAGAAGTGCAAGAAAAATCAATACCTTGATAAATAAAAATTTTACATTTACTATTCACTTAGATGCTCCTGTGCAACAACTAATCATAAATTCTATTAAAGCCAGTTCAATTTTTTACCTCATCAATTGCAATGAGATTGAGCAATCCTCTGCCATGAATCTTTCTCAGCTTTGCCATAAACCCTGATGTCGCAATGAGTTCTGGTGTAACATATAGCAGCCTCAAAGATGGCTTTCCCATATCAAGGTTTTCATAAACCTGAAACTCAACAAGATGTTTGTATCTCAATACAAATTGATTAAAGTAAACTTTGTCTATCAATTCGTTTTCTGATCATGATCTCAGAAGTAGCTTCCAAGTTTGAGCATCTTACAATTTCATAATAGGGTGTTGCTGAGAAACTTGATTAAAATAACAAGACAAATAGGCCTCTAACGACAGTATCACTTTAACATCAAAATGGGAAGAACAGTATGTCTATGCTGAATTTATTTCAAGCTGACCCAAGTTGGCTCTTGAAGCAATGCGCTTTTAAGCTCAAACTTATCATTAGAAACACTTGTTTTAGGCCACACAAGAAAACTAGACTAGCAAGTGAGCTTGACTAATTGACAATCCTATGTACCAAGCTCAAACATAAAAATTAGAATTGCAAGCGAGCTTAATTTTTAGATCTTCTTTTCCTCCACTCCTTGCAGCATAAGAATAAATATGTACTGATCTTACACGGACCTGCCTCAAAAAGTTTGTTAGACTGAAAGGTTAATGTGCATAAATTAATGAAATGAACATTAAAAGTAGTGACGCGTCTAAAATAATACTGCATGACCTTCGCTCACGAATAATTCTCCTTGCTTAAGCTGTCTAAATCACTTGTTACATTTAAAGGTGTACGATCAAACTTAATGCAATGCTGCCAATACTATTCCTACTTAATGAAATTACAATTCTAATTAATACCTCATTCTTAGCTTTAACAGTCAGGGTTGATGAGAGATATTCAGCAGCAATCCCTTTCTCTTTCAAAGCCGATACTTGATTTTCCTGGCAGGAGAAATATATTACTCACAATTAAATGGCCAGATGATTTCTGTTTATCATATACATAAACAACAAAAACATCAAAGGTGAACTATGCTTACCATAAGAGCTGAATGTCACAAAAAATTGTCGTACTAGGTGTCAGATCATGTCCTGGAATTCGCAAAGAGATAGGAATTTGTGCAGCATAAGCTTTCACAATGTCATAAGGTCAACAAAGACTGGTCATATTTACCGATTAGAGGACTAACAACGAGCACAATTCCCTGTTTTGCAAGAGCAGGAATCTGATAACACATCGACTTTCCTCCACCAGTTGGCATAAGACAGAAACAATCTCTCCCTGCATTGGGCATTGTTCAATAACTACAAAGACGCATGCTTATGGTCCGTGTTGACAAAAAAAAAAAAACAAAAAAAAAAAAACAAAATTGCTACATTACACTCCTCATAACCTTCAAAATCGGTCCTTAACAACATATGCATACATGCGCAAACACATATATATTTTCTTTGGATAAATCAAAATGAACAGAGACCTGACAGAACAGCTTCAATGGCTTCCAACTGCTTCCCACGGAAATCAGGATATCCAAAATGCCATCGCAAAAGCTTTACCAAAGCTTCCTTCTTGATCTCCTGCTTTTCCTTCCCGGGCACATTTTGCAAAGGCAGCGGTGATTTACTCATCGTTCTTAGGCTGAAACCCAGAAAATCAGTACATTCATGGTCGGATTTTAGCAATTTTGAAAAAAAAAAAAAAAATATCACATTAAAACAATTGAGCATAGTGAAATGAACATATATCCTCGTAACAATTAGATAACTAGAATATTTTCAGTTATAAATATTTTCTCTAAATTGAACAAGAGACAAGACTTCAATTTTATGCACGCCATTGCAATTAAGCAAGCAATAAATATGAATAGATGGAAACTGCAATGATAATATTCATGTAAACAACATACATAAACAAGGATAGAAAGGTTATATGTGAAGCGAATGAAAACGTAGAGAATGCGACAGCCTTATACCTTGAAGAATCAGGTTTTCGCCAAGAAGATAGGTGTTGACATCTAGACCGGCTCTTTTTCCCTCGTGTGTGGACTCGTGTAAGGCCTAATTTAATGTAAGGGTCCTTTATTTGGCCTGAAATAACTTCCATTTACTTAGGGCATCTACATCCCTTAACATTCATTCAATTACAATTTATTTTTTCTCATGTCATCTCCACATCATCTTTCCACTAATCATCTCTCCATTTAAACATACATTCACATTCAAACATTCATTTAAACACAAATATATGGGACTCATTACTCACTCATTCAATACTATTTTTATATTTTATTCTTAATAAAAAAAATATATATTTTTTTAATTAGAATACTTAATTTTAATTTGTGAAATACACTAAATATTATTATATTAAAAACAGAAATTAAGATTATAGAAAAAAATAATTGAAAAACTAAAACAAAAAGATAAAAAAACTAATTGAAAACAAAACAAAAATAATTAAATAATCAAGTGAAAACAAACAAAAAAAAAAGTGAATAAATAATTAGTTTAAA